ACTTCCTGTACAGCCACGCTCCCTCCTGGCACATACAAACACAACATTTGCCTTGCACTGTGGAAACAGCAGCTTCCTAGGGGACTAGAATGCATGCTGTACCTACCCTCTCCTTTCAAGATAAGATTGCAAAATTGGAAGATATATAAAAGATGTAATACTCTGTGGAATGACCACAGAATGTATTCCTAAGAACTAGGCCAAACAGTTGGAATTAGCAGGATATTTTTTTTAAATCAGTAATTAAGACAACACCATACCTTCTTCTTCACCCTTCCCTTCCCCTACCACAGACTGTCCCTCCACAACCAAGGCCAACACCTTGGTTTATTAGAAGCATGTTGAGTTGCATCAAACTCGGGAACATCTCCAAAAACAATGTAAACAAACCCAGCCCTAATTAGATGAGAGACTGAAATGCTATTAGAATGCACCATGGGACTGCTGCAGTGGCAAAACTGTTGATTATAAACCAAGACATAGCCATTATAAAACCAAGATTATAAAACCAAGATATAGCCATTAGAATGAAAGTTCCCTTCCTCTGATGAACAACCAAATCAACAGCATTCACAGGTTTATTGAAGAAAGGCTGCCTTCTGAAGATGGTCAAACTTACTTAACCTTTTTCTTCTTAAGGGAAGGTACATCTTTCTATTTTTGACCAGAAAGAGGGACTCCTCACTACCACCCAGCCACAGAGCAACCTTTACAGAATAATTTTTTTAAAACCAAAGTTCCCAGAAAACTACAATTAGCACAGCCGAGAACCTGGCTTGAAACCAGAGAGAGAGACATGGGAAGAGTAAAGGACACAGACACTAAAGGACATTTGTACACATGATTGTGCTGCAGCACCGTGTTTTTTAAATCAAATTAAAACAAAATTAGAGCTCCTTGGGCTTTGGCTTACCTTAAGCAAAGCTCGAGCAATTGCAATTCGTTGTTTCTGTCCTCCTAGGAAAAGAGGTTTTATTCAAGTGAAATGTAAAACAAGAGATTTTGATTGCAACTAAAAGGTCTACACTAGGCATGACAAACATATGGCCCCATGGGCCAGACTGGGACTAGCCACCTGTGAAGTGCCCACGGGTCCAGCCCGCACGTCACATGCAGCATGGGGCTTGCTGTGCACTCAGTGTACAGGGTGGCATGGGGCACATGCTGCCTACAGCACTCAGGCTGCATCCAGCACTGCTGGCAGCACAAGGGATTAGTCCAGGGCATCACATGCAGCCCACTCACTGGACCCCGTGCAACACTGGGTCCAGCCCACATACCATGGGCAAAGCACACCTTGTGCCAGCACCATATGCCACATGCACAGCAAACCCCAGAGCCAGTCTAGACTGGGCCATGCTGGAGCCAGTACACAGGGCCAGTCCAGCAGAGCACTACATGGAGCGCATATCCCATGGCAGCCCCCTCGGTTACTTGTGGTACGCACAGTAACAGATTTGGTCCACATGCCATATGCAGTGAACGGAGCCAGTCCAGAGACCTGCATGCTGATAGTTCCATGGGCTGCACGTTTGATACCCCTGGTCTAGACTGACAGGAACTAGGCTATGTGAATCATAGAAGTTGTGTCAGGGATACACAGGGTAGAAAAAAAATAATTGAGTGTCATGGGCAACTAGTACTCAGACAAAAGCTGACCAATAATGCATTCATATTTTGTTCTACCACGTCTTTTTATTATTTAAAAAAAAAAAAAAATAGTAAAGTTATACCTGAAAGTAAAACACCTTTTTCTCCAACTACAGTGTCATATCCTTTTGGAAAGGATCTGATAAAATTAGCAGCATTAGCTACTTCAGCAACCCTCTGGATTTCTTCAGCAGTTACAGCAGAAGGATCCTCTGCACCATAGGCAATATTTTCAGCAATAGAACAGGAGAACAGAATTGGTTCCTGATAAATTCAAAAGCATAGCTAATGTGGTATTACCTACAGTACATGCATTTTCTTAATAACTCAAGCAAAAATAAATCCCATTTATGAAGTCAAGCATTCAGTTTACTTCATATTTAAGTAAAAGCTACAGCAAACAGGAGAGCAACACAGTCTTAATTCAACAACCTGCTGTGAATTAAGCAGGTTGCAAACCACACAGATATGATTGAACCAGGTTCTACTGTACCAATTATGAAGACTCTGTAAAAATAATGTACAACTATCAAACTGTTTGGGCAACTCATCTTTAAAGGAGCAGCTGAATGTCTCCTTTGTTCATGTCTGAATGGTTCATCTTTGAAATTCTTTTTTGCGTTATGAATGACTAAAGATTCACATGGAAAACAAATCAAAGCTGTTTGTGTTCTAAATTCTTATCACATACTTTCCAATTAGTACACCACACAACAGGAGTTTCACCAACAGACACTCTTTCAAAAACTACTTACCTATGCAACATACATTTATAGGACACACACACACACACACACACACACACACACACACACAGCTTGGGACTAGTTCTGAACACAACATAACAGCAAATAATTAAGGCTCGAGTGGGGGGAGACTATATTGTAAAAGTAGGCAGTGATAGTTGATTACTCATTCATACAAATGTTTCCTTCTGTCCTTACCTGACTTACTGTTCCAATTTTAGTTCTGAACCACAGTGGGTTTAGTTGACGGATATCAAAACCATCAACAGTGATGGCACCTGAAATTAAAGAAAAACACTAAGTTAAGCATCATTTAAGGTTGTTTAAGCAAAGGCAAAAAGAATAGGCGAGGAACATATCTGAGTTTTGGGGAGGTCTCATAAGAGCTATGCTCTCCATCTCTAGACATAGCACCAAGGTGGTATTCTTTATAGAATGTTTGTCTATTCATTCTTTATTTACAAGCTTTACAACACTTGTTTAAACACCTGAAGCAAGACTATCTTCACCTGTACAGCATGAGGAGCAGAATGTGCATGGAGCCTCCCTCTTGCACTATAGCCATTTACACTATCTATCCCTCTGTTACCCAGAGCACAAGGGATGATGCAGGACAATACCATGGCCAATACTAGTCTCTAGAGTGGGTGGGAGGACGAACAAGGTTATTTCATAAACACAGGGGTTCTTTTTTATTCAAAGTGAAAAGATCATTCCTTTCCCTCTCTGAATTGGCTGCCCTCCTCACAAGTTCCTACAGAGCTTAGTTTTTTAAATAAACACACTTCATTGACTCCAAATCAAAGTGATTTTTTATATAGGAAGAGTCATAACTTGGTAGATGTGCTACTAAAAACAGACACCATTCACCAGGTACTCTCCTCCAGAAAAAACAGAAACACACTACATACGTTTAACATTCAGGTAGGACCTCAACTTAAAATTCTTGCATTAAACCACTTGTTATTCCCAAAGCACACATTAAGTGCAAAATAACAACCTCTTAGTGACAGTAACATTAAAATACAAACATACCCGAGATGGGATCATACAGCCTCAGCAAAAGTGATACAATAGTTGATTTGCCTGAGCCACTTGGGCCAACCACTGCCATGACAGAGCCAGCTGGAATGGAAAGACTGAAGTCTTGAAAAATTGAAACTTCTGGACGTGCCGGATATGCAAAATGGATCTTTCTGAATTCCAAAGTCCCTCTGAAATGGTCTTCATCCAACACAACACCAGCTGGTCAATAAAGAAAGAATGACAATTCAGAAAAAAAACCCAACCTTAGTGACAGCAAAAATACAACTGACGGCTTAGATGCCTGTATAATAACAGGCAATGTCAAATTAAGGAGCAAAACATTAAGCTTGCAGCAATCAAGTGCACCATCTATTTTGCTGAACTATAATGGTTCTGCACCATATTTAATATGTGACCCAAGGCTCCCAGCATAAAACATTCCAACTATATCAGTTCATGCCAATCTCATCTCTCATAGGGATGTGGCTGCAGGCTAAAGCATAGAGTTATGCACAATGTTTTGCTACCACTTCTGTATCATTTTTTAGCCTTTCGTCATAGGGCAGGATGCATCTAAATATCATCATCATCTAACAACAAGTCTTCTTGAATGCAGCCTCAAACCAGCTTATACATAAGTGATTCTGTAGATATTGCAGCAATAGGGAGAGTTTAGAACCTAGTAATACTGGGTGCATCTACACAAGATGTTATGTTGCCACAGCAACGACCTAGGTTGCAGTAGATCATTGCTACAGAGACGTAGTTTTAGCAGGCATGAACCATGATGCCTACACTACCGCGCAGTAGTGACAGAAACAACCCATGTGCTGTCAGGACTGCAAAATAACGTCAGGTACTTAAGCAAGTGCTAAATGACAGCGCAGTAGTAACAACTGCACAGTGTGGCACAGGTGTAGACACGCCTACTGACTACTAAGGGAGATGCTGCTTTTGCTGAACTAGATACATTTTTAATTGTTACAACAAAGTGGAACCCACTATTACAAGGCAAGTCGTTTTGTAAGACAGTGCAACGGGAAAGTCCAAATGACAGACCTAGAGACTCAAAGTCCATGTACCAGATACAGCAAGGTAAGTGGTGTATACCCCTCATTCACTGTCCTTTCAATGTGCCTCAGCCCTTTTCTGCGAGACTCCCCACTCTTTGGGCAAAAGCAACAGAGTCTGTTCTAAGCTTTGCTTCTGAGCTAAAGCAGTCACTGGAACTTAACTGTTTTGACACTTTTTTGAGATCAGGTTACTAATGGCCTTTTCTCAGATTTATAAAGTGAAAAAAACAATAAGTTCTAGCAGAGGTGTTAAACGTAATCTGTGGGCCAGATCCAGCCCGTGAGGCTCCTGGAGGGGCTAGGAACCTAGCACTGGGGTGAACAGCAACAACCTTAACCCCTACAGCTCCTTATCTCAATAGTGGTTCATGCACCCATGGAGGTCAAAAAATGCCATCATTGTTGCTTGCTCCACTGCCAGACAAGAGTTCAGATCCTGCCTGGAGGGAACCCCAGTACAGTCCTGATTAAACCTAGGGGTCTAAGTGAGTGCGAGACCTTTGATTTATAAAATAAGACAATCAAGCATCATTCTTTGGCAAAAACTCATTTTGCAAACTTAAAACTCAGGTTTTTACTGGAAGAAGTTACTGTCTTTTGAAGCACAGCATTAGATTTGAAGAACAAGAATTAAAAGAAAATTAACACTAGACAAAGTTGTAATATGTATGGCTCAAGGAAGACAATTTTCAGGTCCCAATAAATCATATGAAACCTCTAAATCCATAGATTAGGCCTTAACTTTTAAATAAAAAGATATGCATTAGTGATCCACAAGTTTTTTGAGCAATGATGTTGAGGGAACTGTCCATAGGTGCGCCGAAAGTATTTAATATAATTATACATTTCATACATGTAACAGATGCATAGAATAAACTTAGTTATGGTATTTAGTGTATTCAAAGGCAACTAGGCAGCAGACATGGATAAGTGTAACAATTAGCATTCATCTCCAGCAAGTTCAACAAATTTCATGTCTGAAAAGTTCCATTTTTGACTCTCCTCAAATTCCTCCCCTTTTCTTAGGCTCTTATCCTTATTTACTTCTAGTGTAGTAAACTACTATTACTATGTCAATAGTGGAAGAGTATGGATACAAAACTGCTTAAGATGTAAAACCATTGAGGTACTGATTTTAAATCTTAAGCTAGCATAGAAATATTATGTACATGCTGAAAAAAAGACATATTTACTCTGCGCTATCTTCATACACTTTCCCATGAGTCCAGATATTAAGTAGAATATTCTAATGCCCATCACAAAAAATTGCACCATTGTTTCAGCCCGTACACGAAGTCTGATGCAAAAAGTCTTTTCTCCAAGTATTACTGCAAAAATATATCAAATGCAATTTTGTATGCAACTTCGTTTCCCTTTTGGGTTCTAGATATGTAGAAGAATACTGTGACTGGATCTTGATATCTATATGGTATCAAGAAAAGAAAAGAAAACAACTGGGGTGAGCAAAGGTGAGAATCAAGTACCACAGCAAGTAGACATTTCATGCGAACTTGGGAAAAAGGAAATATTTTTGTTGGCTTTATAATTGATCTAAAATAACCTCTGAAATGTTGGAGGGAGACCTATGTTCTCCTCTGAAGTTGTTTTGTATTGAAAGATATTAAAACTTATGAAGAAAGGCTGAGGGAACTGGACTTTAGTTTGGAGAAGAGAAGACTGAGGGAGTCTGATAGCAGACTACCTGGAGGGAGGTTCAAACAAAGATGGAGCTAAACTGTTCTCAGTGGTGGCAGATGACAGAACAAGGAGCAATGGTCTCAGGTTGCAGGAAGGGAAGTTTAGGTTAGATATTAGGAAGAATTTTCTCACTAGGAGGGTAAAAAAGCACTGGAATAGGTTACCCAAGAAGGTTGTGGAATCACCATCCTTGGAAGTTTTTAAGACCCAGCTAGACAAAGCCTTGCCTGGAATGATCTAGTTGGGGATGGTCCTGCTTTGAGCAGGGAGGGTTAAACTAGATGGCCTCTTGAGGTCCCTTCCAACCCCAGTTTTCTATGATTTATGAAAATCTAAAGGCATTCTATCAGTACACAAAACTAGAACTCCGCCTGAAAAGTTACATCTGCTTTGTAACTCCAAAGGCTGACTGCTGGAGGTCACAACAGTAGCCAACTGTTGGTTACCTCTGCGACAAACATTTTTCAATCTATTTTTTAACCTGCCACATTTTAATTAAAAGTACTTATCACTAGTATAAAATATGTAATTGGTTGTTCAAAAGCAATATAGCAATCCGTTTTTGGTGACACTCCACTAATACCCTGAAAATTATTTCCATTCTACAGATTTTGGAACTGATGAAGAGAGAGTGGATGAAGGCTAATGTGTCAGAAGTGAGAAAAATGCTTAGTCTTCTAGCCATGGATACAAAAAAACAAAACAAAGCCATTGAGACAGAAATAAAATCTACAAAACAAAATGAACCCCCCCCACAAAACAAAACACACGAAAAAAAAAAAAAAAACAACTTTCATACATTCCCTACAGACAATTAATTCAAAATATTTCTGTTATTTTTGATGCCATATTTACCCCCTCCATTGTTATCCTGGTACACCAATTTCAAATAAGAATTTCTGGGCAATGTAAATGTTTGGGCAAAAAAACTAGAGGGTTTGCACTTTGCCTGAACTCCAAGATAAAAATACTGCTTAAAAAAAAGTTTGTCCTGTATAACCATAGCATGACAAAACTGATATGTGACTTTCGATCGGTGAAGCCTACTTGAAGTAGTACAGAAACAAATTTCCACCATAGCTGTTTTTTATGGCTAGGCTCACTGAAGTTATTTAAAGGCGACTAGAATTAAATATATAATGAATGCAAAAAATAATTAAAAAAAAAAAATCTTCAAAAAACTCAACTACCACATTCCAAATTAACATTAGTTGCTGGAACAAAATATCCAAGTGATCCATTTCAGATTCATTGCTGGCAGTAGGTTTTTATTACAATGAAATATTTTAGTCATAAGGTTTCACAAATGTGATATTACCTAACTGTATCTGCTTTTTCTTAGTTTCCCCAACTCTACAGACGAAAAACAACAGGAAATCTCTGTTTGCTTATCTATATCTACATATACCCCCCCTCCAAAATTACTAGCTTTTAGACTGATATGCAGTGCTTATAACAATAAATATGTCATAGGAATCATGGAACCATTCCAAACTTGATCAATATAAGTATCGGTCTGCAATAAAGCATATTTCCCTAATTAAAAAAAATATATTGTTCCTGGAGACTTCTTTTTGCACCCTTCCAGTCCGTTAGGTATTTAGCATGTACAGACAGACAGACATGTTAGTTGGTCTTTTACTAAACTAAACAAAGGGGGACTAAAAAGTGCAATTCTGAGGAAAACTCCCTTCTTTCTTCCTCTCATCCTTATGCTGTAAAGTTGATACAAAGGATGGCTGTCACTCCAGTACTGCAAAACTCAAAGTTCTGTGAACAAAGAATCAGAGGGTGGCCATGTACCATATTCAGAAGCACATCTCGAACAAATAAAAAGCAAATTTTGAAGTCAAACTCTATGCTTATAAAAAAAAGTTTAAAGGAAATTTACAAGATATTGAAACATTTTTAGACTAATTACTAAGCTTGTGACAAAGTTTATATAATGAAAACTAATATCAACCTTTAATATTCTCAATGGAACTAGGCGCAGTAAAAACTATTAATGCAGAAATAGAATAAAACCCACCATTAAATGGAAGTTCTGGCTTCCTTTCAAGAAGTTCCCACAGGCGTCCTCCAGCACCTAATCCTTTTGTTAGCTCAGAAAAGAAAGAGCTCATACCTGAAGAAAACACAAAACAAACACACACAATAACCATACATCACTAAAGTATGTGGAAAACATGAGAAGAAATTAATCAGTTGCGTTCAAAGCAATTTGTAAAATAAAACTATGCAACTCAGACATCAAATATTAGAAATCTTAATACTTAGGAAAGTGAGCTTACAACTTTAAATAAATCTTTTCCAATTTCAGTGGAAGATACATAGGTGTGCAACTGTTACAATGAAAAAGGATGAGAGTTACAGGGTATTTCTGTAGATTTCACTGTAAGGACTGCAATTGTGACAATTCATTCCTTACAAAGAACTTCCCATAAAGCATATGAAACTTTAAGACAAATTTTATAGGAAGGCTCTTTCATTTCTATTGCATCCTGAGGTGACACTCTGAAATGAACTAGAAATTCTCAAAAGCAACAAAGTAAATGCAAAAGCTACTTCAGCCAAGTACGAAAATGAGTTCAATATAGAACTGTCCTATTTTTACACTGAGTTCAGTGTATTCTACAGTATATTACCCTTACATTTTCAAAGTATTGTACATTTGCACATTGATAAACACAGAACTCCTCAATGGGAAAATTGAAAATATTGGCAGCTAGTTAGGGAACAGCCAGAAAACAGTTTGGGTTTTGTAGCAACAGCAAAATTCTTGTCATTATGAGAAAGAAACATGCTAATTGCAAGCACTTAGGTGAAGAAATAGAAGTGTATTCTATCTCTGTTCTTTACTGCCTTCCATAAACACTGGTTCTGCACACAGTCAGCTTCAGCCCACAAAAGCTTGTTTTATTATATATTTATAAAAACCCTACATTGGCTAGTTTATAAAATGCAAATCTACTCTTCCTTCTATCTGAAATACAGTAAATAGTATAACAGGAGCACCATTCATTCTTAAAAGGAATTCAAAATAGTTCCCAAGCTATATCTTATCTTCACTTTTTGGGTGGTACAATACTGATGAACATTCCCCAAGAGAAGCAGTTAGTCTCTGGGTCAGTAGATTACAAATTCTAATATTTACTGATGAAGAAAGGGAATAAAACAAGGAAGGAAAGAGAGCCTTTGCTGCCCTCCCTCTATGACAGTCTCTTAAAGAACTGTTCTAACTTTATGCAAATGAGTGTGGGAATTACAGCAAAACTTCTAAGTGCCTTCCTTCCTAAAAATGTGTGTCTGTTCAGGATAATTATTTTATTTCAGATAAAACCTAAATAATTCCCAAAGCAAAGTCAGATCATAACTGAATGAACTTTGAAGATTTAACTTCTGCAATTGAAGCAGGGGAAGAGCTTTAAACCTTCGGTGATAATATGAAAATCAGAAGTCTTTAATTCTAACTGACCCTTCCAAAATATATATTTACAAATCTTCCCAAAGATCATTCCATCCCATCAGGACACAGGTTAGAGCTAAACTGTTCTCAATGGTGACAGATAATAGAACAAGGAGCACCAGTCTCAAGTTGCAGCCAGGGAGTTTTAGGTTGGATATCAGAAAAAACTCTCACTAGGAGGGTGGTGAAACACTGGAACAAAAGTTACCTAAGAGGTGGTGAAATCTCCATCCTTGGAGATTTTTAAGACCTGGCTCAACAAAGCCCTGGCTGGGATGATCTAGTTGGGGACGGTCCTGCTTTGAGCAGGGGGTTGGATTAGTTGACCTCCTGCATTCCCTTCCAACCCTAATTTTCTATGATTCTAAGACTCTTAAGGAAAGCCAAAAATTAAGAGGTTTGGGTTTTCATTTTATTATTTTTTTCATACAAGAGACTGGTACCTTTTGCTGTACTCTGAAACATAACTTTAGCTTATAATTTGAAATCATAGATTTCATATTCCATACCTCTAATGCTTACTCCAACCCAGAAGGCATACATCAGGAAGGAAGAGAGTTCACCAACTGTCATTTGGGCACTGCTCATGAGTAATCCTCCTTTGTACAGAACAGAGAGGACAAACAAGTTCCCAGAAAGCCCAGTCTGGAGAACAAGAGAGAAGTCTGAATTTAAACTGGATTTTTTCATAAACATCTAAAATTTCACCTTCTGAAATGCAGTAAATTTCAGTATTTCATTTTTAAACAAAAACATCACCTTGGTTATTAGATCCAAGTGAAATCTTAAAACTTTAGTTTACTTAAACTTTCTGGGTTTCTCATCCCAACATCTTGCCTACATTTGAAAGCTTTGCCTGGCAGGGCCTCAGAGCTCAAGTATGTAAGATCAGTTAAAGCTCTCTCCAGAATGCAAAGAAATACTGTGCAGTGCCCTCAATTGATCCTTCCTTCTCTAAACCATAAGCAGCTGTGATAGACTTCAGAAGACACAGAGTGCTCAACCTTCAATTAAGAGAGAAGGGATTAACCATAGTTCCTTTCCCCTCCAGTAAGAATTTTATATATAGACACATAGATCTGCAGCCAGATGCTATTATACATTATAGACCTGGTTACCACAGCTTCTGCTGCTATATTAGGGGGCCCATTTTGCCCAGAAACAGTCTGTGTGAACCCAAGCACCTATAACTAGGGACCTACATAAATTGAGGCAGAAGTGCACTGTGCAGTGGATCCTTTAAATCTCTCTCTCTTTTTGTTGCATACCTCCCTCCCCCACTGATTGGTCGAGGAACCCCTGAAACACCACCACTTGCTGCTGATAAGCAGGGAGGCAGAAACCGCAGCATATTTAAAACTATGGTTTTTTCAAGGTCTGTGTAAAACTGGCCCTATTCGATTTGGATTCAGCACAAGTCAGGGACAGTGATTCAATCCGTTCACTTGGATCACCTGTCATCTGACGGTTCAACGCTGATCCAGCAAATCAGCGATTTGGATACAGGCGCAGCTTTAAAAGTTTTTTCTACATACCTTGAGGTAGCAGCACGGCTTGTGATCGCTGCAGTGCTGGGGCAGATGCAATGTCCCACAGCAGCGCAGGGAGCTCTCCAGCATGCTCAGCAGTGAACCCAGAAGTGGACTGGAAATACTTCTGGTCCACTTCTGGGTCTGCTGGAGAGCACGCTGGGCCCCTGTGCCCCCCTGGTTCAGTGATCGGCTGCAGGGGGACCCCGGGTGCCCCCCCCAGTCCCAGGAGGCACCAGTTGCCAAGCTGGGGGGGGAGGGGAGCACATGGGGGCCCCGTAGCATGCTCCCTGGTGGACCAGGAAGTGGACGAAAAGTGCTTCTGGGTCTGCTGCCAAGTGCGCTGGGGAGCCCTCTATGCTTCTATGGGATGCTGCATCTGCCCCAGCAGCGCAGCAAATCATGAGCCCCTGCTACCTAGAGGTATGTAGAAAAAAAAAAAAACACATTTAAAGCTGTCTGTATGGCCGAATCAATTCGGAGGGTTCCAGTTCCATTCGGAGAGATTAAAAGGCCCTTGGGGAGGTGGGGGATGCGCAGCAAAAAGAGCAAAATTAAAGGAATTGCTGTGCAGTACATTTCTGCTGCTAGGTAGGCCCCTACCTATAAAATTTTGCTGGGAGGTACAATGAGTAGTGCTAGCTGGAGAGCTCACGTGGGGCCAGTACAGGTCACTAGATGATCTAATTCAGGGCATTACTGGGACATTTCTATCTGTCATCTATAGAAACAAGTCACATTTTTTAAATTGCCCTGGGCTTAGCAGAACCTTAAAGGAGAGTGGCAACGTAATCAATACCTGGCTTAACCTGGGTAAAATTTCTCATTACACTGATCTTTAATACAGAAAGGTGTAAAACCTCATGAATTAAGACTCATGAAGTTGCAAGCACTAGAATTTTATTGGACTCACTGCTTCAATGAATAGCCTGAAGGAGGAAAAACAACAAATAATTCCTTTCTCTAGCACCTTTATGGAAATTCATTTTACACAACATTGATTTATATGCATCATATCAGAGCTATGAGAGTCCTTGAGTATTAAGTAGTCCATCAGTTTCCCAGACCTAATACACCCTGGACGCTTCACCACCTTAATATACTTACAGCTCCAAAGAAACCTGCAGAAGCTAGTGCCTCTTTTTTGGCTAGCTGCAGCACATAGCCAACTTTGTCTGCATATTTCTTCATTTCATTCATCTCTTGCCCAAATGCTCGAACTGTTCTTACGTTTCCAATGCGATCTTCGGCTAACTACAAAAAAGAAAAAACACAGAACTGGACACACATACTCATGGGTAGGCTCACATTTCAAAAGGTCTGAAAGTAAAAGCAATACAAAAGCTTTTCTATCTATCTATCTGTAAATATGCTACTCTGAATGCCAGTGAAAAGCTTGCCATGCCCCTCTCTTGAATTCCATGATACCAGAAGCACATTCTATACTAATATGGTTTTAAAAAGCAAGTCAAAATTAGTTTAGCTGTACTACTAGTGTGGACAGAAACAGAATAGGATTATACCAGCTAATTTGTAAAAAGTAATGGGCCTTAAAAAAAAAAAAAATCTTAATTTGGAAAGGACAATGGATATAAGGAACAGATGAGCATTAAAGAGGATTATTCATAGCTGTTCATAATAATGACTTGGAATGATAAATGCCCTATTGTATACCACACCGTACAGAAAAGACTGCATTTATTTATGTAATTCTATTTACCTGAATTAATTTGAATTGGGGATAAAATTTAGCCCAATAGTATAGTCTTTATTTCAGTTTAACATGCAAAAACTCCCAAATGAATAAAGTTAAACCTTCAAAAAACCCAAACTCAATTAGCTTGCTCACTGACTGACACTATAGTGAGAGTATGCCACAACAACACCCTAGCACATGAACCAAGATCAGGCTTGGAGCCACACCCACTCCCCAAGACCACCATAGTTTGTTTTCCTCTTCAACCCTGGGTGTGTATTTCAGACTTTGTAGAGCAGAGCTGGGAAGTCTTCAACCTGCTTTCAAGTAGATAGACTTCCCTTGGACAAACGACAGGCAAGATAAACAGCATGTGGCTAATCTTTCTTCTGCATAGTGCATTTGGGCAAACTGACCATCCCAGGATTAACATAGCTGAAAGCCATGAATATTTTAGCAAGGTCTTGTTCTCAGCATTTCTCTCTTTCATAGTAAAAAAAGTTAATTCTATTCTAGAATAAAATTACTGAGAAATTACTAGTAGGCAATTATGCCCCAGGTCTTTCACAAAAGCCCCTTAAAAATAACCACCTCCAATTCTCTGACTCCTCCACAGATGAAGGGGAGGAAAAAAAAAAGAAAAAAAAAAGAACTTTGCAGCATAGCCCAAAGGTTAGTAGACCCAGGCTCAGATGGATTAAGAATCAGGGTAAAACATCAGCCCTCACATCAAGGAACCTTCCTGGAGAATTGTTTTGCTGGCTCTGCCTCTAAAAGTGCTTTCTGTGGTCTCAAATCTCCTTCATCATACAGCTGCAGAGGTACCACTCATAACTAGGTCTCGCATCATTCAGGCCTTCATAGGCTGAAACTGCATCCCTCACACTAAGAAAGAACATAATTCCCTTAAGCCAGGACTGTCCAACTGGCAGCCCATGGACTGCATGAAGCCCATGAGGGTTTAAGTTGAAGCCCCAGGGTTCTACTCTAGTTGCTGCTCCCCACATCACTCCAGCTGCAACAGCAGCTAGAGTGTCTGGATTTCCCCTCCCTCCTCCAGCTGTTGCTTCCTGCCCTCACCCCAGCACATAGGCAGTGTAATGCAGCATGGGAACCTGAGTGCGAGTACAGGCCACACCTGTATGGGCTGGGGGGCCAGAGGTCATGCCCGTGAGGGGCAACACTGTGTGTTGGGAGCATCTATGTGGTCTGTGGCTCACCTGGTGTGGCCTGCGTGGCATCTGGCCCCCAAGGGTTTAAAAGTTGGGCAGACCTGTCTCAGGTTCTCTCAGCACGGATTTCCATAAAGCTGGTATCATTTTGCTTCCAATTTTTTTTCTTTTTTAAAAACAAAGGAAGGCTAGCAGTGAGACCTGTGGGAAAATGTTATTAACCTCCCCCAAAGAAATTACTTCCTCACACCTGAATACTTGAAAGCAAAACAGGTTTATTAGGTCCAGGTAAAGAAATGGACCTCATACCTCAGCAATTCTATAATACCTTTCTTAGGGTATTTAGCTTTATATTATCCAAAGCATTCTACCAAGTCTTAGCAAGATTACCTGTGTTGCTTCTGCAAGGGAATCCTGGGTCATTCTAGTAACCTTTCGTAGATATTTTGAATAAGCCATACCTAGGATAACCAGAGGGGGCACAATACTCAGAACAAACATGGCAAGTTTGGGAGAGACAAAAACCTAGAAGAAGTTAAGGATTCAAGAGTTAATATTTTGGCATAAAAAAGCCACATTGCTGAAATACAGGAGTGCATACACTCAAGCCTGAAGAAAACTACACTGCTTTTTTAAAGATAGTGTAGATTATTTTATAGTGCAGTTGTAACTTATTTTGTCATCTCCTATTTTCTAGGCTAACCACCCATCCTTCTACAGCATTTGGGCAGTACAAAGAATCAGGAATCAAATGGTCTGGATTCTATTTCTGGTTCTGACACTGCTTGGCTCTATGGGCTTGGACAACCCACGGTCAGTAATAGATGTCCATTTTGTTACCATAATAGAGCCCTATCATGGCAGCAACTTAAACAGAACCCCTCAATGAAATCAACTTAACATTATTTTTAAATTAGATCTAGGTTGAATAAGGCCTGTAATATTTGGCCTTAAACAAAGGGCTGAAATATGTAAGTTTTATCACTGACAAAATTAAAAGACTTGAATAACACTTTAAATTTTTAGAGTGGAAACTCTCACCAGCTTCTGGTAATGTTACCTGACTGAATTTCTGTTCTTTTTTTTTTTGATCATGAAACCTTTTTTCTTATCTGTCTTTCTTAGAATGACAGCAACAAGCAGCCCAATGACATTTACAAAAACCGCCACCAAATTATCTATTCTGAGATAAGACTAAGAAAGTTTAGGCCATGCAAACCATTGGGGGGGGGGGGTCTCTTATTCAATAAAAATTAACCCATTCACTAGACATTTACTGATGCAGAACATACAGAACACCAAGACCCTTAACTGAGCTCTTTATCCTAGCTATTGCCTCAGTCATCAACTGTAAAATTCTTATCAGTATTTAATGAGATGAATGAGATTTAATGCTGCTCAACATGGCATCTTTGGAGCAGTGCCTCATTAAAAGGAATACCTATGGCATAGTAGCAAGCTGGCTACAGGCAAGTCACTTGTTAGAAAGTAGCACATAAAAAGTTATAAATTTTAGAAAGAGCACAGAAGAACAAAGCTCTCACAAAACCAGAGCAACCCGAGTGGATTTCGAAGACCTTTATCAATTACTGATACCAACTTATGAAGCCTTCAACCTGTCATGAGCAGTGAGGGAAAGGAAAAAGACAAACATACCATCATGCCAACCCCTACTGAAGCCTGAGCTCCTGCTCTGAGCCCATCAGAAAGGTTTTCAGTCACGGAACGGCCCAACAATGCCGTGTCTGAAGATAGGCGGTTTATCAGTTCTCCTGTGCTGGTCTTATCAAAAAAAGCAACTTCTTGCTTCAGAATAGAGGAAAAGATATTTTGTCTCAATTGTTTCACAATTCTTTGTCCTACAAGAAAAAAGAATGGTTTTCCAGAAAAGATTAACATTTCAAAACTTCATATGTAGAAACACCCCCTCCCCGCTTACTGATTTTATGAAAGACTAGAATAGGATTCTTCCGTTTAAATCATACTGGAGTGTTACAAAATCCTAGAATCCAAACCAAGTGGATGTATCCAGACGTGCACAGACATTTGGTTTCCCCGGGGACAACTGTGCTGCCGCCAGCTGTCCTGGGTGATTGCCTGTGCCACATGGGGTAGGGAAGGCTGAGGCCAGCACTGGGGGCCTCCCGGGGCTGCAGCAGCAGCGATCCTGCCATGGGAGTCTGGCCAGCAGCAGTGTGTGGCTCTGGCCAGCCAGGCTCCAGCTTTGGGTGGCACACGTTGCCTCTGTGTGTGCCACTCCCCTTTTTTTTCCCCCATGGGTTTTTTTGACCCCAGAATATCAAGGGGTCAAAAAATCCTCCACACAGCTCCCATGTACGATGGAGAACAGAATGTGCAGTATACCACATTGTTGCACTCATCTGGACGTGGCCAGTGAGCTTTAATCAGTCCGTGTCAAGATTTAATTCCTCTTACATTAGGCACCTTTGTATTGCTCATTTATCTTTGATGTGATGAAGCAAAATAGCAATTTTCAGAAAGATTCACAACTGGTTCCAGGGATTTCTTTCAGACCTTTAAACAGTACCCTGTTTCTATGGCAAGGACCCCTTTTGACTTTACTGGGTTTCTTTTACCTGCAGTTTGCATGAGGTAGACACGAGTGGCATTTGCAGCAGCACCACACAAAAAGAGCCCACTCAGCAAAGCACAGAGGCTGGTCAGGCTGTTGGTGAAGTCTTCACTGGGATTTGTATAAATGGCATCAATCACTTTCCCCAAGAAGAAAGGAGCTGACATGGTGATGACACTGGACACTGTCAGAAAGCCAACACCAGCTGAAACAAAACACAAAAGCCTCCTTACATTCAGAGTTTGTTCAACCATTAACAGAATAATATGGATGAGTATTGTTTTTAATCTTCCAACAACCTAATAAGTACTGTGGTCTCTAGGACAAAATTATTGGCACTCTTTGAACAGGATATTGAAAGTCAGTTTGACACAGCCCACCAAATGCACTAAGCTAAAAATGCTTAAGAGGTAGATGGGAAGAGTCCCATACAAAAGAAGCTTCTCATCAGCAGATCCTTTAAAGAGTAGGGAGAAAGCCAGTCTCTTTTTTACTGAGAGACATAGGATTATTTTTCAGGGACCACAGATCTCTTTCCAGATACAATCTTCAGTCAAAGAGAATCCACAGTCCAGTGTACTGAATAAAAAGGTATACATCCTGAAAGAACATTCTTAATGAGCAGACTACTGATAAAAGACTACGAACAGCACATGCAGCCAACCTATAGCCTATCTTATTTAACATGGCAGACAGCATGCTGCCTTCTTCCTCCTGCACTTCTGAGAGTTCCTATCATTCAAACTTTTCTCTCCATCTGGAAGTCACCTCTCCTTGCTAGTGAAGCAAAACAAGCCTCTTTATGCAGCTTGAAAGGTTTGCCCTGTTCATCATAGCAAAGCTAAAGCATGTCTTCAATACTTTTGGCCCGCTTCAACCTAGGAAAGGTTTGAATTAGTTCTTTATTGATGCCAACTTTAGACTTAGAGCATACCAACTTAATTAATACCTGTTTTTCAGGACTATGAATAACAGATTTGCTTTAGTTAGTCTTCATCACCGTCATCCAACCTGTGGCACAGGCAGTTGGTGTGCAGGCACATGAGCCCAGGCACAGATGACAGGGATTGGAGTGGCACTCTGGGAGGAGACGGGGATAAGGGATCAGTACTGACTCAATGGTTTGGCCCTGTGAGAGCTGTGGGTGTGGGTGCTGCCCAAGTCAGTGTTGATATGTCTTAGTAACAACGGGATTGTGTGGCACCAAGATACAATGCAACTTTAAATCAGCCACCACTGTCTCATAATTTGGATTTACCTTGTGGCATGGTTGCCAAAGAAGGTGGCCACCATTGAACTAGCCCATCAGCAGCCAGGGGGCTATCAATGGTCTTGTTGTTTGTTTTTTTAATTTCCTGTTAAAAGTGTTGCTGTGAAAGTTACCTGTAAAATGACAGATGCAAAGGAAGCTTAAGTGTCTCTCTCTGCAGCCTATCTGGCAAGAGAAGCATGACAGAGACAGCTGTGGGGTTGGGCGTATGCTAGCTGCGCATGGGGTTGGAAGTATGCTAGCTGGAAGACAAAAGGGAATGTGGGGTGGAAGGTAGGCAGCGAGGCTTTACGGGGAACTGGGATAGAGGTGGGCTGCATGATCAAAAAAAGTTAAGAACAGCAGTCCTAGCTAAATAAGGATGGTAAAAAGAATTTCTTGCAGATGCTGCCACACAAGAACTTGGTGGTAATGAAGAATCCAGAAGCACTCCTTAACTGTCAACCAAATCACAAAATTGTGCAAGTATGTTCACATATTCACAGAAGAATACACCATAGCTGCAAAATCCTCAAAGCACCTTCCTCTGTCTCAGCATAGTCTGTCTTGCTTGGATTCAATTTCAACCAGATGTTCTTTATTCACAATTACAGCAGATTTCACCTGAATTCCTTCTGTCTAATTAAACTAAAACTAAACACTCCGGAAGTAGTGAGCTACTGATACTCCATTTACTGAAATACTAGATACAGTGTGCTAGTACAATGCATTTAAAGTTTACAATTTTAAACAATATTGCCTTACAAACTAAAAGCCAAGTAATCTACATTATTACTTATCATCCTTTCCTGTCTCCAGATGCACATAATTATCCCCATTTTAAGCACAGTCAAAATACAAAAAGATTTCATAGTTTATCTTGCCAATTTTACTGCAGTAACAGTTTCATCACCCAACAGCACAGACCCAGCATATATCACGTTGTCTGTTGTCAGCAGTAGGGGTCACACTTGATTTTTGAGGGTTGCTGTTAGCATCTAGGAGAACAAGGGTGTTGCAAACTGTTGGCTTATCCAAGAAGCAAAATTCAACACTCCCAACAAGAGGTGTTACAGTGATAATTAGTTAAAAAAAGGGAGGGGTAGGGCAGGTTCAGCCACCAGATATGGAGGTATTCCAGAGGTCAGAGGCCCTGCCACCAGAAAAAGCTCAACATGCGAGCTCCAAGGCGTTAGCATTAGATGGCTTGACAGGAAATTCACTTCAGTGTTAACAGGAAAATGCACCCTTCCAGGGCATAGATTAGATGATCTTACAGAATCACAAGTCAGAAAATGCCTACAGAGATCAAACTGAAACCAAACCATTTGTAGTAGATGGACACAAATTTACTTAGTGTCTAATGGGGAATCAGTACATACTTGCATTAGGACAACATCCTATTACAACTATGGCTGAAGAACTCCAACAGATCCCAAGGAACAATATAAACTTTCTGCCAGTAATGAGAATGCTGCTTTGGACAGAAGTGCATTTGTGCTCCTAAATCACAATGGGTTGCCTTTAACCACAGAAACTCGTTTAAAATGTACAAAGTGAAAAACAAATTCCCAGTCTCAAGGGTCTCGGGTCATGCAAAATAATTTGTCTTACCTGCATTTATACTTTAAACATGAGGTTTGACCTAGTTTCATCTTTTGCCAACTACCATTCAGTATTGCATCTCCTGTTATATCCAACTATACCAAGAAGCTAGCAAAAGAATAATCTTTGATCACATCAACCCAAAGCTGGTAGTCTAGATCCTACCCAGTCAAGTTTTAGAGCAGAATTTAGAACAGACAGTATTAGTGAAACTGATGGGGTTGGGCTTTGTTTCTACACAGATGAAGGGCACTGATCCCAATCATGCACTTGGATCTCTCCACAGCATTCAGTACAATCAGCAGCAGAAACTTATCTGGTCTCTTCAGCCAAGTACAGACAAAAAGCCAGAGGCTGAATTGATTCAATCTTTGCAGGTTAGTCTAAGCTGCATAGATTGAACCAATAAGCAAGTTAGCAGACATTTGAAATGCAGCCACATGACCAGTGACCTACGCTAGAAGCTGAGGTGCACAAGAGCACACCTCCCTACTCGGCTGAAGCAGACAGCTTGGGCCAAAGCTAGCCCGCCCATACTGCGAGGCAGGGTTTGCAGGGAAGGGCAAAGCATCCTGGGATGCTGGGGTACAACAAGTTAATTAATCTGGACGGGATCTGGGACAGAAATTCAATAAACAGATTTAACCTAAATCAGTTCATTCTGATATTACATCCATCCAGATTTATCTTAAACTGGTTTTCATCATTTTGAAAGCAGTTTATGTCCACTGAACTTCTGTTGTATTACAGATTTTAACTGGTTTCCTACCACTTATATCAGTTTATGCATCATTTCCATCCCTAGCCTTAGAAGTAGAAGGGATCAAGAGAAACTGAGTCTAGTGGACAGTTACAGTACTCTGCCACCAGACCTGTCTAGTACAATAGTTCTACTGCTTCCCTTTTCCTATGCAATATTGACATGCATCTGCTAAGCAAAGTAGTGACATTTCATGAGCTCAAATGCAAGCAATAAACAGAGGACACACTTTCCATTAACAGTCACTAGCCATTAAGCTGCCCCAATGTCAGAGAAACTTGATGAAGACAAGACTCTTAAGGAACTTGCCGGACTCTTAAGGAATTAGCTGTACCAGTTGAAGATTTACATCCACAACTTGTAAAGACACTTTGCAGTTGGGTGCTTCTAATCTTTCTGTCAACACCAGACTCTCATGTTCTTGGAAGACTGGTTAGTTTAACATATTGCATTTTTTTTTCCAAAGGAGGCTTCAATCTTAATTATTCCTGGGTTTGGTTCCCTGACCTGGCTCCCCAGACAGTACCACCTCAAGTCCTTTTCACTTCTCTAATGGATCGAGGCTAAAGATATCTTGGGAGATGCATTATTTCCCTGGATCCTGATGACGTTTAATAGCTCTACCTCAGGAAAAATACAAGCGTCAGACAGGGGTCTCTCAGTGGGTGGTCTTAGACTTTGATATTCACTCTCACAACAACTTCCACATAGCACATTCAATATTATATGCACACAGTTAGTTACAAGTAAAAATAATTTCACAACCTGTCCCTCCAAATGGAAGACAGAAGAAACCCAATGCAAACACTAATCCTTTTTTATTCTCAACCTTGAAGACACTCTGGCAGCATGGTGACAGGTGCAACATAACATACTAAATAAAAGAGAAATATACTTTGTCTTTTTCTAAGGCATACACTGAATAGAGAAAGCATTTAATATAAGGATTTAAGAGAAACTAAATGAGGAGTCAGGAGCTGAATTGGCGGCGGGGGAAGGTGGGGAACAGGAAAGGGGACTGGGAAGTTATTCCAGTCACAGCAGAAAACAGAGGAACTTAAACAGCAAGACATGACCAATGAAGTTGGCACTGGAGCCACAGGAAGAGGAATCTATAAAGTAAGCCTAAACAGAGTTCTTCGGAGTCATGACAATATGAAATGAAAGTTTAACTTGGAGACCGTTTGGCAGGAAGTATGGTCACATAAAATGCCAGGACTTTATTTGTGACTGTCCAGCATAAGCAGTGAAGTTATTCAAAGCTTGCTGAAAAACTACATCTTCAACAAAAACATTTCTTTGCTGAAAAGTTTCTGCAGTCCTGGAAAACTGACCACTGAGTCAATCACCAATGCATAGCACAAACAATGGGAGTTTTCAGACGCTATACCTTCAAAGCTGATGTGGTACATTTGTACAGTCTGCTAAATCCCGTCCCCAAAGACTAGCACAGGTTTCTTTAAACAAACTACTAGCAAAAAACTGAAAGTTTTCATGTATTGTTAAAGTAAAAATACCTTGTAGAAAGCAGCCAGAACAAATGACATCTGAAAGAAAAACCACTGAAAATCATCTCAGGAAGTGGGAACATTCAGTAGTTCAGATGGGGCAACAGCTTTGCACTGGGGCAGAAGAGGCATAAAGTGAAAATAGTTAATCACTGTCTTTTAGGATGACAGGATAAAATACAGATAGAATGAACACTTCGTACACTTAAAACAGACCATACACAAGTCAGAAGCATAATTCATTTTCCACCCCCTTAAATAAGGCTTAGATTAGTCCTCCAAAAGCTATCTAAGAAGTGAGTTTCCAGCAGCTAACTTTGGAACCAGAATAAGGTAACTTCAGATTTACAGCAAGAAGCACTGCTTTAACCTTTTGTATTTTAACCATTACACACTTGAAATGAAGCCATAGTACTAATTTGAACAAGTATAGGCTTGAACATAAAGCACATTGTCTATATCAAACTCCCTAATCTATTCAAATCTGTAGGTGTAAAAAGAACCTCTCCCTGGAAGAATTCAAGTTCTGTAGAGTCAACCACTTGCAGCTACAGTGGTTAAGATGACAAGGCACTGCTCTAGGACCACAATGGCTTCATTAATGGATTGTGAAGAACCAACCTGAAACTGCTGCTCAAAAATTTGATAAGTGTAATGATTTCAAGACCAAAAAAAAAAAGATTTTGCTGTAACTAATCTAGTGGAGA